CTGCTGTTTGCTGACGACAGCCTATTATTTTTTGAAGCAACAACGAAGAGTGCTACCAAGGTGAATGAGTTGCTGAAAGTATATTGTGACGCCTCAGGACAACGAATAAATATGGAGAAGTCATCTGTTTATTTCAGTAAGGGAGTTTCTGAGGCTACCCGAATGGAAGTTAAGAACGTTCTCGACGTTCATAATGAGGCGCTGTCAGACAAATACTTGGGCTTACCAAGTGATGTTGGTAGAGCCAAGGAAGGATGCTTTAAATATCTCAAGGACCGAATCTGGAAGCATGTTCATGGAGAAGTGCTTGTCTACGGGAGGGAAGGAAGTCCTTATTAAATCAGTTGTGCAAGCAATACCAACTTACTCTATGGCGTGCTTCAAGTTACCGCGGGGTTTATGTGAGCACATAAATGGTCTGCTAAGAAAGTTCTGGTGGGGCAGCAAGCAAGGGTAGAGGAAGCCGGCTTGGGTTTCATGGGAAACAATGTGTAAACCAAAATTCATGGGAGGAATGGGCTTTCGAGATATTGAACTTTTTAATCTGGCCCTACTAGCACGCTAGGTGTGGAGGATTCTTCAAGAACCAAACTCTCTAAGTGCGAGAGTATTGAAGGCGAGATATTTCCCAGATGGATCTATTCTTGAGGCGACCTTGGGAGCTCATCCCTCCCAGGTATGGCGATCACTGATAGAAGGACGAGATGTGCTAGCTTTGGGCTTAATTAAGAGGATCGGCTCGGGGGAGAACACAAGTATTTGGCACGAGAACTGGTTGCCGAGGGATTACATGTTAAAACCTATGTGTTCGACCTCCCCTGATCCTCCTCAAACTGTCTCGGAACTTATCGATCCAACATCGAGGACATGGAATAGGCCAGTGCTTATGCAGCATTTTGTGAAGCCTGATGTTGATGTCATTATGAGTATCCCACTCAGCTTCCGAGTACAACAAGATTTTTGGGCGTGGCACTATGATAAGAGGGGAGTGTTTTTTGTTCGTTCTGCTTACAAGATGATTTCAGGCATTAAACATCAGCGAGAGGAGTGGCTTGAACACCGCGCGAGCAACTCCAACAAGGAGGCTGAGAGGAGATCATGGACAAAGATTTGGAAAGTGAAAATCCCATCAAAGGTCAGAGTATTTGTATTGGCCCAGATGTCACTGCCAACGGGGACGGTGCTCCATAGTAGGAAGATGGCAGACTCACCAGCATGTTCCATTTGCAATGAAGAAGTGGACTCTTGGCGGCATTCGTTGTTCGATTGTCGCATGGCAAGATGTGTTTGGGCTCTATGTGATGAAGATGTCCTTAAGCATATGTTATCTAACAAAACCGAGAATGCGAGGCTATGGATCTTCTCGCTGTTTGAAACCACAAACCAGCATGATCTAGCAAGGATCCTAGTTATGATGTGGGCTATATGGTGGGCTAGGCGGAAAGCTATCCATGACAATGAGTTTCAAAGTCCATTATCAACATTCAGTTTTGTTAATCGATATCTTGATGAACTTGAAGTGGCAAATCTTGGAAGAACGACAACCCCGAGTCCGACTGTTCAGTGGATGCCAGGAAGATGGCGGCCACCTAATGATGGGGCGTGTGTGAAGGTAAATATGGATGGAGCTATATCTCGTAGAGGAACTACAGGGGCGGCAGCGGCAGTTTGCAGAGATGGACTTGGAAATTATTTGGGCGCCTCGACAATTGTTCTTGATGGACTGGTTGATGCACCGAGCTTAGAATCCCACACATGCAATGAAGGTTTGGTTCTGGCAAGGGATCTCAACATATCACATGCGATAGTTGCGTCGGACTGCATGCAAGTCGTTACGGATATCAAGCGAGGCTCTAGTTCCTCGTATGCTTTTCTGCTTAGAGAGATTAATGAAAGGATGATTGATTTTGTTAAAATTAGTTTCTATTTTGAGAGTAGGGAGTCGAACTTTGAGGCGCATGCTCTGGCTAAGGCTGCGTCGTCGCTCCCGTCAGGTCGCCACATGTGGCTAGGGATCCTACCGGACATCATTTGTATTCCTCATGTGTTGAACTTTAAATAAAGTCCCTAGTTTCACCTTAAAAAAAGGTTTTGGGAACCTTCTAGAGGTGCCCAGCCAGTTTTTTCTGGTTTTGGGAAACTTCTAGAAGGTTCCTAATCTGGGTTTTTTCTTGTTCTTTTTTTCGCTTTTCCTTTTTTTCTCTCCTTTTTCACTTTTCTGTTTATTTTTGTTTTGTTTCTATTTTGTTTTTTTCACTTTTTTTATTTTATCATTTTCAATTATATTATTTTCTTCAATTTATTATTTTTTTAAAAAAATCATTGTGTTTTACTATTTGTTGATAAATCCCAAAACTGTTTGGAATTTGAATTCCATAAAATGTTCCCATGTTTCAAATTTTGTTCACGTATTAAAAATTGTTCGAGCATTTCAAAAAATGCTCAGGTTTCAAAATTGTTCAATGGGTTTTCAAATTTTCAAGAAATGATCACTTTTTCAAAATTTGTTTGCTTTTATAAAAAACGAAAATTGAAAATATGTTCACATTGTTAAATAAATGTTCGCATGTTTAAAAAAGTGTTCACAATTGGAAAATATGTTTTGAATTCGAAAAATGTAAAAAAAATAAAAATGTTCGTTTTCTAAAGAATATAGAATTTCAAATTTTGTTTGCAATGTTTAAAAATGTTCGCGATGTTCACTTTTTTCTGAAATTTGTTCACAAATTCAAAATATGTGCAGGAGTTTTTTAAAATATTGGTGGTTTTAAAGTTTTTTAATCCCAAAAAATGTTCCTGTTTTTCAATTTTTGTTCACAGGTGAAAAATCGTTTGAGAATTTCAAAAAAAGTTCACGTTTCAAAATTGCTCAAGGGGTTTCCAAATTTTCAAGAAATGATCATTTTTTGAAAAATTTGTTCGCTTTTACAAAAAGGAAAATTGAAATTTTGTTCACATTGTTAAAAAAATGTTCGCATGTTCAAAAAGTGTTCTCAATTGGAAAATATGTTCGGGATTTGAATAATGTGAACAATTTGGAAAATGTTCTTTTTCTAAACAATATTGAATTTCAAAATTTGTTCACGATGTTCAAATTTTTTTGGAACTTTGAAACATTTGTTCACGATTTTATTCGAACATATCTTTGAAATATTTTGCCAGAATTCAACACCTTTTAGAAATTCCAAGATATGTTCGAATAAAATCAAAGGTGTTGAAATATTTTCCTTATTTTTGCTACAGTGCCAGCGTGGCTTCCCATAGCGCTACAGCTAGCACCCACTCGCTGCGCGCGTATCCTGTGCGAAGCGGTGTCCTTTTGCCGCAAAGTGCGGCGTATAGGAGCTCTCCTGATTTTCTGCGCATTAAGCCAGAATAAAATGTGTGAGTAGGGTCTGCCTATGCATTACATTAGCCTGTCATACCGCATCATCAAGGGCCCGCAAGGCGCAGTCCGCTGCAGCCCGGAGCACGGACGGCTGGGCCACAATGCCGACAGCCATAACCGCATCATCATGGGCCCGCATGGCGCAGTCCGCTACAGCCCGGAGCACGGACGTGCTGGCATGGCTGCTACTAGGATCTCCTATGTGATGCACGATGCG